TTTAAAAATTTAACACTCAACAAAACATATGTGGACGTTACCATAAAAATGGCCCATATATATAATCATATTCCTAACAAAATTTGAAAAGTTTTAAGTTATCTTACGCCTCTTTTGGTGAAAAAGAAAAACGAAATCAAAGATTGAAGTACAAATATTTATAATATTTCTGGGATAGTTATTCAGATCATAATTTTTTTAATTCAAAGACACGTCTGTGATGACAAATGAATAGGTTTTTAATTTTTTCATAAACGATTTTAAAAATACAGAGAATTCGAGAAAGTTGACCCTTTTCTCTAAAATGAGATTTTTAATTAAGTAACCGAATTTTTTATGGTGTTAACGTTTAGATAAGAATGATTTGTTTATTTTTAAAAAAGAGAAGGAGAAAATAAGAATAACCTGATTATTAATTAACCTTTAATTAATTATTAATTAACAATTTGGAAGTAAATAATCTGAGTGCTCGTCTGAGTGTCATTGAAAAGTCACGTGCCGCTACATATTTTAAGCTCCGAAATTTACTTAAAATTAAAAAAGATTTTTTATGCTTAAGGGGGCCATTCATTAATTACGTAAGGCTCCTTAGGGGAGGAGGGGTTTATAAGATATAATGTAAGAAGGGGGAGGGGGTCCGAAAATCTTATGACCCCCCCTACAGCTTATATCTTTAACTTTAACGATACAAAAAAGAAAATTAAAAAAAAAATTTTCATTTTTTTTTGTAAATTTCAAATTGATCCTGGTTATGAAGAAATGATCAAAATTTAATTCTAGATACGGCATTTAAAAGCTTATTTCATCACCTTTCAAACGCTTTTTTGAAAATTTTTCTACGATGATTTTTGAAAAAGATATGACTATTTGTATAAAAAAATGACCCATGTCTGTCAAATGAACAAGTGCAAAAATTTTAAACAATTGAAAATTTTTCATGTTTGTAAAATACACTAGTAGTAAATATTCAAACAGTTAAAACTTTTATGTGTGCACCAGTAAAAAATTTTCCAACAATTAAAAACTTTTTGTTTGTAAAATACACCAGTACTAAATGCTCCAAAAATTAAAATATTTTAAAGTTTGTAAAATACACCAGTACAAAATGTTCCAACAATTAAAAACTTTTTGTTTGTAAAATACACCAGTACTAAATGCTCCAAGAATTAAAATATTTTAAAGTTTGTAAAATACACCAGTACAAAATGTTCCAACAATTAAAAATTTTATGTTTGTGAAATACACCAGTACAAAATGTTCCAAGAATTGAAATAGTTTAAAGTTTGTAAAATACACCAGTACAAAATGTTCCAACAATTAAAAACTTTTTGTTTGTAAAATACACCAGTACAAAATGTTCCAACAATTAAAAATTTTATGTTTGTGAAATACACCAGTACAAAATGTTCCAAGAATTGAAATAGTTTAAAGTTTGTAAAATACACCAGTACAAAATGTTCCAACAATTAAAAATTTTATGTTTGTAAAATACACCAGTACAAAATTTTAATATGTAATAAAAAACAACTTACCTGACAAAAATTTTTACTTCTGTAATATACACCAAAAAATATTTTTATGATATGTATTAAAGACATATGAAAAATATCTTTAATGAGAAAAAAATACTTTCTTCAAGATCTGTTTAAAACACACAATATAAAAAAAATTTTGTGTATAAATGAGACTGATTCAATAAATTTTTGAAGCACTCCGCCATATCATCTGTTAGACCGACATTATGCAAAAAAAACAAAAACAAATATTTTTTTTAGTTCAAGAGTAGTATAATACATTATTGTATTTTAATTTTCTTAAAAAAATTTCTATTCTTCAATAAGAAGAATTAATAACAAAAAAGTTACAATCGGATTTTTGAGAGGTGTTTTTTAACCAAATATTTTTGTCGGGTGAATTGAGACGATACCGAAATTTTTTTTAAAAATATGAAAAAACTATCCCAATAAAAAAAATAATTGGGAGTAAGCGAAAAGAATTGTCGATGCCCGGCGGTTTCGCGTAGAAAAAGTTAACTTATTCACACAGCGCCCTCAGCGCGAACCTCAAAATCATATGGTAAGTTATATGATAACACTGTGCTACAAAAAAAAAAAGTCGTAGACTTTTATGGAGACCTACTACAAGTTGTAGGTCTAGTAGTACTAAAAAAGATGGTATATCAGGAATTTCCCAAACAGCCCCAAAATTTCATTTTACGGGCAAAAAACCGGTTTTTGGTGTTTTTATGTAAAAAATTATTCATAACTTTTTCAATTCTTAACCGATTTGCAAATTTTTTTTTGTTTAAAAGGGGGAAAACACACCTTTTTAACCGTGTATTGCTTGTTCACTCAAAATAAAAACTGACGAGCCTGCAGTTGAAAGTATCTCCGATTTTTCGATTTTTTTTTAATTAGTCAACTTTGACAAAGTTTTTAGGTTATTTTTCGATATCGGGGTTTTTTTTCAAAACAACAGTTTGAAAGTACATGTTATTCCGCGTAAAATGAGCTATTGTGGAATAAAATTGGCCAAAAATTGACGGAATGGTATAAATTTTAAGATTTCAGAATTTTTCGATAAATTTTTATGTACTTAGCTGATTTGTAATAAGCATTTCTTTTTTGCTTTTGAAGTCTCATTCTACCAAATTCCATTGATTACGTCGAAAAGCAAGCATATGAAACTGTCTTAAATATATATTACAATAAATACTGCAATTTTGAAAGTCTGTGTTTAATATTGTATGTTGTTTCTTTGATATTAAGCTAAATGGATAATTTTCATTATTAGCTTTATTTAGAACAGAACTGACAATTGTCCAATTTCTGATAAAGCTGATTAAGAAATATCATTAGGGAAAAAAAGAAAATTCGAACATTCTAGGCATTTTTCCTATTTTTATTTCTTGAATTATGTTTAACAATCAACGCACGCGAGTTCTGGGTTATACTAGCGATCGGAGGTGGTATAATTAAGTTTGAAAAAATCATTGTAGACACCAATCAAGTCTCCACTATTTTCTAAGTGTAGACGATGCTTTTGATCAAAAATCAAGCCGCATATGTAGCAAAAATTATTGCTATTATCACATATTTCTTCCTTACAAATTCCTTACAAAAATGAGTTTTAAAACTATGAATTTTGAAGTAAGTAGAAAACCTTAAACAACCTTTAACAACACTGTTAGAAAAATTTGTACTAATTTTAATATGTTGAATGTGAAGCAAATGTGGAATACTAGTCTTGAAAATAAATAAACAGTGTACTAAGTTGAATATAAATGAACATTAAATTTAATAAAAATGTTTATTTATTTTCAAGACTAGTATTCCACATTTGCTTCACATTCAACATATTAAAATTAGTACAAATTTTTCTGACAGTGTTGTTACAGGTTGTTTAAGGTTTTCTACTTACTTCAAAATTCATAGTTTTAAAACTCATTTTTGTAAGGAATTTGTAAGGAAGAAATATGTGATAATAGCAATAATTTTTGCTACATATGCGGCTTGATTTTTGATCAAAAGCATCGTCTACACTTAGAAAATAGTGGAGACTTGATTGGTGTCTACAATGATTTTTTCAAACTTAATTATACCACCTCCGATCGCTAGTATAACCCAGAACTCGCGTGCGTTGATTGTTAAACATAATTCAAGAAATAAAAATAGGAAAAATGCCTAGAATGTTCGAATTTTCTTTTTTTCCCTAATGATATTTCTTAATCAGCTTTATCAGAAATTGGACAATTGTCAGTTCTGTTCTAAATAAAGCTAATAATGAAAATTATCCATTTAGCTTAATATCAAAGAAACAACATACAATATTAAACACAGACTTTCAAAATTGCAGTATTTATTGTAATATATATTTAAGACAGTTTCATATGCTTGCTTTTCGACGTAATCAATGGAATTTGGTAGAATGAGACTTCAAAAGCAAAAAAGAAATGCTTATTACAAATCAGCTAAGTACATAAAAATTTATCGAAAAATTCTGAAATCTTAAAATTTATACCATTCCGTCAATTTTTGGCCAATTTTATTCCACAATAGCTCATTTTACGCGGAATAACATGTACTTTCAAACTGTTGTTTTGAAAAAAAACCCCGATATCGAAAAATAACCTAAAAACTTTGTCAAAGTTGACTAATTAAAAAAAAATCGAAAAATCGGAGATACTTTCAACTGCAGGCTCGTCAGTTTTTATTTTGAGTGAACAAGCAATACACGGTTAAAAAGGTGTGTTTTCCCCCTTTTAAACAAAAAAAAATTTGCAAATCGGTTAAGAATTGAAAAAGTTATGAATAATTTTTTACATAAAAACACCAAAAACCGGTTTTTTGCCCGTAAAATGAAATTTTGGGGCTGTTTGGGAAATTCCTGATATACCATCTTTTTTAGTACTACTAGACCTACAACTTGTAGTAGGTCTCCATAAAAGTCCACAATTTTTTTTTGTAGCACAGTGTAATAGATCAACACTATGCTTCTACCTGTCAAATTTGTCATTTTCACAATTTAACAAAATTCCATATTTCCTGTTCGTAATCGGCATTTTTACACTTAAGATCAATCAGTTTTTCATTTATGATGCTAATTCGAATCAATAAACGTAAATTTAATCGTTTCAAGTAAAAAGAATTCACCGTAACGTCCCAATTCGGATTAGACACAAAACAGAATTGAGCTTAAGTCACCGCCAATTCTTTTCGCTTACTGACAATTATTTTTTTTACTGGGATTGACAAAACATGACTATGTCAATACTTCGTAAATGTTATTTTTGCTGTAACTATGAAAAAAATGCATTTCCCAACACTCCCGCCGTGCTTACCCATCCGACAGTACCTTATATTTTTGAAAAACGCGCGATTTGAATGCAGTGAGACTTTGCGCTACTTATATGCGCAGTAACTACGATTTGAGCAAGTAGTTATCTGGCAACCCTGCACGTGGATATTTAGAACAGAAAAATTTCATTCAATCAATTTCTTATTTATTTATATTAATTATAGGGAAAGATGGCTACTGAAGATGAATTGTTATTAGTCCATTCGAAACAATACGTTAATATGATAAAGCAAACATCTTTATCAGAAACAACAATTGTGGATGATAAAATTTCCACATTTAATTCGGTTTATATAAACAGCAGTACCTGGTTTAGTGCTAGAGTTGCTACTGGATCACTTCTACAAGTTGTAGATAGTGTTCTCAGTAATAAATGTCAAAGTGGTACAGCTATAATTAGACCTCCTGGACATCATGCAGAAAAGGATGCTGCTTGTGGATTTTGCATTTTTAATAATGTTGCTATTGCTGCTAAATATGCCTTAAAGAATTACAACGTTAAAAGGTACGTTAAGATGTTAGAAAAATAAATTAAAATTATATGTTAATTCTTTACTGCTTTGAAAAGTAAATTTTATACAAATCCTCAATTTTATACTTATCATACAAGGTAAATGTTACCCTTCCCCTAATGTAACTTAGGTAACTTAACTAACACGAGATTCAAAAACATAATTCCTAAGTTCAAAAGAATCAGGATTATCAATCGCAAGTTGATAATGTAGATAACTGTCAAACCAAGGTTTTTCCGAAGAAGGTAGTTAACACTCCGAAAATAAGTGTTTAAGACTCCTCACAGGAGATTCAACCAAGTTCTCTCCTTTTTCTGTAATTTTTTCTTTTTACTGTTAATAACAAATTTTTTTCTTGTTTTCTTTCTCACCCATCACATATAGTTTTTACTTTCATTACATTCTCATCATAATGAGAAAGTATTACATTTGACCGATTTTGACCAATCTCTACACGGAAAAAATAAGTCAGCAAAACTTTCGTAAACTAGTATTTCACTTTTGGACGGGGCACAAATTTTTAAACGTTTCATACACTTTTTAGTAATAAAGCATAAACTTTACCGAAAAAGTGAAACAGAGTCAAGAAATTATTTACAAACTGTATAGAAAGATCAGTTTGTTAATCTATATTGAACAGTTTTTAATAATATTGTTTAAAGATTGTCGAATTTCTATAAAAAGTTTTACAACATTGTAATAATTGAGGTTCGAAAGTTTGAAACATAAAAGAGAGTAGTTAAGACAGCAGTCAACGAAAGAATCGTAGACTTTTTCTAAAATTCCGAACATGCTCAGTTCGTAGCTTGGTCAGTGTTGATCAGTGGAATTAACTTCTTCGTTCGCGTGGCTCTCGATAGCCGCGGCGGTTAGTTGCTAAGACAAAATGCGTTATATATCTTGGTTAGGTAGGTTCGAATCCCGCGGAAGCGAATTCCGAATTTTAATGTCGATAAAATTGTGTATAGTGCGTATATAAGATATTAATAACACAGGCACACAAAAAATAAAAAGTTGTTTGGCCGAGACACTACACTAGTCTATTTTCATGTATTTTTTCACGCTGAATCCGAATCCGAAGTCAGAATTATCAGATTGGCTCTTATTTTTGAGATAAACTCAAAAAACTGCTCAGAAAGAAAAATATAATCAAAAAGTTAAAAAAATTTTGAATGTCACTGCGATAGTGTAATTCCATGTATTTTTTGTCGCTGAATCCGAATCCAAAGTCAGAATTGTTAGATTCGCTCAAATTTTTGAGATAATTGCAAAAAACACAAGTAACAAAAAACTCAAAATACTCAAAATCAGTTTTTTGGAATTATCTTCAAAATTTGAGCCAATCTGTCAATTCTGACTTCGAATTCGGATTCAGCGTGAAAAAATACATGAAAATGCACTATCGTAATGTTTCGGCAAAAAAATTATCTGTGCCCCTAATTCAGAATTTTTATCAGTTTTTGGCGATTTTAGCTCAAAGAACACCGCACATGCAAACATTAGATTTTTCAAATTTTCTATCACTTCTTATTGTTATTAACATACGCAACATTAGTTACTGTTATTGGAATTTGTATTTGTATCGTGTAAGAAAATAAATGATAACAAGTTGGCTAAAATTAGTTAAAAGTTTTGTAGATGTAGTTGATTTATTTTTAATCACGCGTTTTGTCATGATTAAAATAGAAAGTTTGTACCTTATGTGGTAAAAAAATTGTTTGCAAACACGGTAATTTAAAAACTTTTTTCTTCACAGAAAGTCATAAAAAGATCTTCCAAACTTTTATGAATAAAAGTTTTTCTTTAAGTAATTTAAAATTTCCAACGATAGAATTGCCGTTGATAAGTTCAGATAATATTGTTTGACAATTTACACACATGCTCGATACAAAATTTTGAATTATTTAAAGAAAAATTTTTATTCTCATAAGTTTTGATCAGCTTTTCTCGCTTTACTGTGATGAAAAAAGTTTCTAAATTACCGTCTTTGCAAATAATTTTTCTACCACACAAGGCACAAATTTTTTTATATTTCAATCATGACAACAGGCGTGATTTAACTTGTAGTAATAAGTCATTTTTAAATAGATTAAAAATAAATCAACTACATCTACAAAACTTTTAACTAATTTTAGCCAACTTGTTATCATTTATTTTCTTACACGATACAAAAACAAATTCCAATAGCAGTAACTAATGTTGCGTATATTAATAACAATAAGAAGTGATAGAAAATTTGGAAAATCTAATGTTTGCATCTGCGGTGTTCTAGGGAAAATACTCTCTTCCCAAGTAGCACGATATACCAACCAGATGTCACGGTGATATCACCGGGGAAAGTCACCGTGACATCAGGTAAATGTCACAATGTCCTCCTTACGGTGATATCACCGTGATATCATGTTGATAATTTACATGGTTTTAAAATTTTTAATAATTTAAAAAATAATAATAAATAAAAAAAATAATAAAAAATAATAATTTTTAAAAAATTTTAAATCCCTGTAAAATATCAACATGATATCACCGTGATATGACTGTAATATCACCTTGATGTCACCATGATATCACCTCGATGTCACCGTGTGATATCACCGTAAGGCGGACATTTTGACATTTTCCTGATGTCACGGTGACAGTTCCCGGTGATATCACCGTGACATCTGGTTGATATATCGTGCTACTTGGGAAGAGAGTATTTTCCCTAGAACACCGCAGATGCAAACATTAGATTTTCCAAATTTTCTATCACTTCTTATTGTTATTAATATACGCAACATTAGTTACTGCTATTGGAATTTGTTTTTGTATCGTGTAAGAAAATAAATGATAACAAGTTGGCTAAAATTAGTTAAAAGTTTTGTGGATGTAGTTGATTTATTTTTAATCTATTTAAAAATGACTTATTACTACAAGTTAAATCACGCCTGTTGTCATGATTGAAATATAAAAAAATTTGTGCCTTGTGTGGTAGAAAAATTATTTGCAAAGACGGTAATTTAGAAACTTTTTTCATCACAGTAAAGCGAGAAAAGCTGATCAAAACTTATGAGAATAAAAATTTTTCTTTAAATAATTCAAAATTTTGTATTTTTCATAATAATGCATAAAAAAACAATAAATACATAAAAAGTCATGCAGGAGGATCGGTTACGATTTTGAATCTTTGAAATTTTGTTCATTTAGTGTTCAGAGATTCAAAATATATAAGAGTTTTTTTTCGGCATCGGGGACCAACTTTTTTTCGTTAAAGATAGGTGTGTGGGGTCAGAATTCGTGAAATCAGCACAGAAAATAAAAAATATTTTTTTAAAATTGAAATATAGAAAATACAGTTCTATTAGACCACAGAAATGTTTCTACCAAGCGAAAAACAATTTTTTCTTTTTTTACAGAAGTTATTGCAAAATGATTTTTTTTGCATTTTTTAAACAAATGCTTGTTTCTCGTAAACGAATGGACCGATATTAATAAATCAAACGGCTACACATTGGGGAGGAAATAGACTTCCGTTTAAAATTATCAATTACAAAAAAATTAATTTTTTCATAATTTTTAAATAAATTGTTTATAAACAATTAAATTTTTTTTATGTTCTGCGCCTTTAAAAATTCGAAAAAAATGTTAAAATACTCTTAAAACTCTATGGAATCGAAATCCGTTAAGAAAATTTATGTGCACTTATTATTTTAATAATAATAAAAAATGTGTTGCGCGGCATATATCATTGTCGAGACGCTCACCCGTATCTTTTAGCGCGCGCGTTTTCAATAAGTTATAACAGGAAGAATTTCGTGTCTCCTTATTCATAAAAATTTTACAAGTGTCGATAAACTTTATTATCATTTATAAATATTTTATTGAACCCCTAATTAATTATCGATGTATGATCCTGGCGTTGTCATGGTAACGACGCATGTGACACCGGCGTAAAAGCGACAAGATACATCATGATCACTTTTGGATCGAACGTCGATACGAGTATATGTTTCAATTTTCTTAACTTATTGTCGATTATTCTGAGAGAATAGTATATAGTGTGTGAGACACGTATAAATTGGCCAATTCGGTTGTTTGAAGAGTGAATCTCTACAAAAAATGTAAGTAGACCTTTTGTGAAATATATATCTTTTTGAATCGACACTCTTGATATTAAATTTTGGGTTCACCCATTTTACCCCCCCTTTTTTGTTCTTTTTGTTTAATAATTAAATGTCTCATGTTAATTGTATTTAATTAAATCGTCGACATTTGGTCGACTGGCGCCGGGCAACCCTGATAACATTTTTTTAAATTATCTTAAAACTTTATTTAATTCTATAAACTTGAACCCACACAGCTTTGAACCCAGCCGCGTGTGGTGAAGGAATATTTAAAATTTTTAATAGTAAAGGAAAAATAATTCCTGTTTCATTTGGCGCCCAACGTGGGGCCGTTGGGATTAATTGTTTATGTAAAATTATTTTTTTTGCTGTGAAAATTCAAGTTTTATTTATGAGTGAAATTTTCCGTCTTTTATCTTATATAGTATTTAGAAGCAAGGTAAAAGTCTCTAAATTCAAGTCGTCTTATTTTCGTGTTGTGTTATCTTGTTTATATGCCAATGAGTATGACGAGTTACATTGTCCTTGTGTTTATAAACCCAGATCCATTATTAGGAATGTGTGTTTGACGGAAAACGAATTTTAATTAGTGACGATTTATTAAATGATAAAATAAATGACCAAAGAAAATTATTAATTTGAATCTGGTAAATTAAATATAAAGAAATTATTAAATTTTTAGAGTGTTAAATAAATCTCGATCTAAAAGTCAAATTTTATCGTCGATTAGAATTTTATTTTGTATTTTTTTTAGTAATGAATATTTTGTTGTAAATTGCTTGTATGTTGCTACAGTGAACGACTTTATTTTTTATTGCTTTGTAAAATTCTTCCGTCGACGAAAAAGGAATTTTGGTGAAAAATTTCGAGTGAACAAATATTAGTCACTC